TTAATAATCCATGCAAAAAGCAGTATTCGTTCAAACTGTCTAAATTTTTCTGCAGTATGAGACAATCAGAGGGATCTTTAACGATATTATACAATTTGATATCATCAGCATACATTAAAACTTCAGTATCATTTAATTGTTTCACCAAATCATTAATGTAAATGCTAGATAACAATGGGCCCAAATGTGATCCCTGAGGGACCTGGTATCACTGCATATTCACAAGAAATGGCATTTTTAATTTTGACACGACAAACACGATCTGTAAAATAAAAAATTAGCCAGTTCAAAGCCTGTCCATAAATTCCTAGAGCATACAATTTACCCTTTAAAATATTGTGGTCAACTCGATCAAAAGCTTTCGTTAAATCTGTATAAATTGCATCTACTTGAAGACTATCTTCTACAGCAGTAGCAACATACTCGGTGAAGAGCATCAAATTGGTCGTAGTTGATCTGCCAACGTAAAAGCCATGTTGTTTGCTACTAATCACATTTGAAAGCTTTTCACTTAGTTGGTCATTAACAATACTCTCGAAAACTTTGTGAATTGACGATAAACTGGTGATCGATCTATAATTAGTAATAAGCGAAGGATCTCCAGACTTCAACAAAGGTTTAACAAATGATTTTTTCCACTTGATGGGAAAAACGCCTTCAGTTAGCGATTTATTGAACAGAAGCCATAGAGGTCTTGCCATAGCAAAGGCACACTGTTTCAAAAACTGATTTGTAATCTGATCTGGTCCGGAACTCTTCCCAGTATCAAGTGAATTTAAACAACCTAACACATCGGTTATATTTAAAGTAAAATTATTAACATTAATAAAATCATTATCAGCACATTTAAAGTTGTCAGTGTCATTCTGCTCAAAACTGTAAACCGAGAAAAAATATTTAGCAAAAGCGTCTGCAGTTGACTGATTTTCAGTAAAAACTTTATCTTCTAATCTCATTGTACTAGGCATATCACAATTATGACGTTTAGAGTTCACAAATTTCCAAAATGGTTTGGAGCTAAAATTAATCAACATTTCGGTATCCTCACGGCATCCTGAACATATGATTGATAACATTCTTTTGACAATAATTTACAGCGCGATCTTAAATTTTTATACTCATTATAATGGTGATTAGAATTGCTTTTTTTATATTTCAAATGAGCTGCTTTTTTTTCCGATATCAAGTTTTTTATTTCAGTTGTAAACCAAATGGGAAATTTGTTATTGTAATTAATTTTTTTCTTAGGTACAAATAATTCTAAATTACTATAAACAATGTCATGGAAAATGGATACACAACTATTAACATCATTGTGAATAAAATACTGATCCCAGTTAATATTAATAAAAACAACATTTAGGCTTTTATAGTCGGCCAAGTTAAAATCATAAACATTCTCATTCACATTACCACCTTCATTAAAGTTTAAAGACAAAGACAACTCAAGAGGTGGATGGTGTAAACTTGGTTTCAATAGAAAATAATCAGATAGAGACACACAATATCTAAGTACATTACTAAAAACTAAATCTAAAACTCTGTTGTTACCATTGTGGATTTCATTTAACTGATACATGTTGCTGAATGCTGAATGCTGAATGCTGAATGCTAAGTACTCAATTTCATTTAGCCAAACAACTTCCGGAAGATTGTAATCGCCGACAAAATATTGTTAGCAATATTACTCTAGAGTCGCCTCTGGTCAGGGAGATAAGCACGTATTGATGACGATGCGTGAATACCCGGGCTTTTCGTCGGCATCATGTTGGTGTTTCACGGAGCATTGAGCACAGGTATCGGTAACTGGTATAGCCCGAACTGAAACTATATTTTTGTTTCAAAGAACAGATTCTAGATGGCGCTGTACACAACAATTTACAGAAATCTACAATTGATGGTGGAAAGAGTGGGAGTGTCATTTGTCATTGTCAGGCATCCATTATCGATTACCTCGCGGTGAATGACATTTGCCATTTTACCTGTATTTTTTGTGATTATCCATATCATATTGTCAATAATTATTATTTGTTTGTATTTGGGTGTGCTCTGGATCCTGGATGAATAAATAGTAAGTATTTTGTAAATAAATGCTTATTGTATTGTCAACTTGGTCTTGTTCAATTGTGTTTTAAATGTTCAATTTGATTACTTGATCTTGCTGACGATTGAGCTTATTTTAAATTTTTGTGGTAATTTTTAGTTATAAAAGCTGTAATATATCGTATTGTTGTATGTCAAATTGTTTTGTAAACACTCTGAAATCCTAATAACGATTTATTTCAAATTTGAGTATTGGGTATTCGCAGTCCATTTTTCAAGAATAAAACAACAAATTTGTAAAAACTATTTAGTATGTGATAAAGATTTTGAAGATATGTTTAAAGTTCTTGGTGCACGCAGCGATCTAACTGTATTTTTATTTGTTCTAGTACAAACTTTTTCAAGCCGTTTGGAGTGGCAGTAGTGCATCGTTGAAGACAAAAACAGCCTAGTCAGGGAAGTAATAGTCACTGTACTTTTTGTATTCATGCCTCACATTTGATTTTTATATTGATTTAGTTCAGATTGTTACTTTTACTGTTTTTTATTTGTTCTAGTACAAACTTTCTTCAAGCCATTTGGAATGGCAATATTGGATTGTGGAAGACAAAATAGCCTAGTCCGGGAAGTAATGGTCAGTATACCTTTTTTTATTTATGCCTCACTTTCTGTACTCCCCAACAGATTTGAAGGGTTCAGGAAAAAAAGGGGCCTAGTCACAATTACCAAAATTTAATTTAGACTGACTTTAAGGTAATTGATTACAAAAAGATGTTACTTTGTTTAAATGTTGCCTGATTATATTGTAGTTTACCACTTAATTTACCAGACAGTTGTAATTTTTTATTCTAAATACTGAAAACGACACATAAACAGTAGGAAAGTCCTTGGACATAATTTTAAATGCACTGTTTTGCATTTGCTAATACTGGTATTTTACAAAATAGGACGGACCAGTTCAATTTTGATAAAAATGTGGCTTTTTTTCTTCCTGTACCCTTCTTGATTTATAAGTTGATTAATATTTATTTTTTGTTTTAGATAAAACTCTTCAACCTCTGTAGACAATGACTTAACTTTCCAGCTAATTAACACGCTACATTTAATTATTCTATTTTGTATGTTTTTTTTGTTTTAATAAATTAATTTTGTTGATCATGCTTTTTAATTTTTTGTAAAAATATTTCAGCTTGTAGTCAAGTTAATATTGGTTCATACTACTCATTTTTTGCTTTATTGTAACAAATATAATTTTATTGCTACAATAAACGTAAAAAAGGAGTTGGTATGAACAAATCTTAATTTGACTACCACTTTTAAACTAAATATTGAAGGACCATTTTGAATGTTCCCGCGTTTTGTATTAACTAAAGTGACCGCGAGATGGCGCCACTTCCGCCAAATAGTTCAAAGAACGCCCACCGGGTGTTACAAAACTGTCGCAAATTTTAACATTGCAGTTTCCATTCTAAAAGTAATTGTTCTGTGATTGAGCATTCTGAAAAGTACAATCAACGTGGTCGATCTCTCTGCGCAAAATTACTGGCCACTCGCTATACGTCATTACTTGTGTTTTTGGTATTCAATATTCATACGATTATAATAGTGGTGTTTACTCACATATGGATATTTAATTTTAATTAATAATTATACCCCCTTCGTTTCTAACAATATATATTCTTGTCATCATAACTTTCACAAATATGTTCAACAGTTTGACCATGATACTCATACACATCCACAGAGGAAGAAGGTGGGATATACACGGCACAAATGCAACATTAATTTTGAATCGAGACACAAATTTGTTCACAATAAACTGCACCAATGGGGAGTTTCAACTTCACAGAATCGATGTTATTTTTAACGGCAATTAAGATTCCTCCTCTTCTAGATTTACCTGTCACTTCTGTATCGCGATCACATCTGTATAACGAGTAGCTGACACAACTGCAAATAAATTCCTTTATTGTTCACTAGTCCGACGTCACCTAGATTATTGCTCTTCTTTCTGGTCTTCACATTACATAACGCACAGCAGAGACATAGAAAATGTGCAACATAAATTTCTTAGATTGCCTATAAATTAGGTGTTCTTTGCGAGTATGGTTTGACAGAGAATTTTCTAAACATCCTCTCTTTGGACACTAGGAGGAAACAGAGAGACATGATATTACTTTTCAAAATTATCAATGGCAGATGCAGCTGTACTGAAATTCTAACAAAAATAAATCTTTATGTTCCAACCCGCTCAACTCGACAGCAACAAACATTTTATGTACCCTTTTAGCAGCATTTATAAAGCAATTACTTAGTACTGAGCTTTAATCTTTGATCTTTAATTTTTAATGTAAATATTTTATTCAGCTTTATTGTCTTCTTTTTAAATCTTTTAAATTCTTTACCTATTTTAGTCTATATGTAATGAATTATATATCGGGTCGGTAGTGTAGCGGTCTAACGCGCTTATATTCATTTATAGGCAAGTTTATGAGTTTGAGACTGCTGGGCTTCGAATCCCAGACCAGACCATGTGGATTTTTAATTAAATTGCATGGTTCGGTTTAGGATTTGATGTGTGCCGTATTAATAGAAATTCAATTTCTGTTGATATAACATGCAGATTAAAAAATCGCCATGCATTACCGTCTCGATGATGGTGGGTGAGGTTTTCCGGGTTTTCCTCACTTGTAAGTCAAATGGCACCATCAATCATCTTTAAGTCGCCCCGGAGCGCCACGGCAAATAATAATAATAGCCGTCCCTTCCCCTAAACAAGTCATTCAGTCGACTTCCGGGGTTGAAATTCACTCGTAAGGGGGTGAATTAGGGAGAGTATTATTATTAGCACCATATATATTTCACTACATTTTAATTATAATCTAAAATTATAATTTATTTCTCAAATGGGCTTGCCCGTAAACAAATAAAATAAAATAATTATTATTCTATTTTAGGTTTACTTTAGTCACCACTCCACACAAGCCGCCAAAACCATATTTCCTAGCAACGTACAACATAAACCTGACGTTAAAGGCATCCTTAATGAAAAAACAATTGAATTCGTCGATGGGTCATCTTGTGACATCGACGTTATACTATTTTGTACTGGTTATAGATACAATTTTCCATTTTTGCATGAATCATGTGGAATAATTGTCGATAATAATTACGTTCAACCTCTTTATAAGCACATGATACATATGGAAAAGCCTACCATGTGCTTTATTGGGATTCCTTTTCATGTTTGCACTTTTCAGATGTTTGATTTACAGGTAAAATAATCAGAATATACTTAGTGAAAACGACGAACAATTACTAGACCAATTTTATTTACAAAAGGCTAATTACGAGCATTCACAGTGTTATCCAACATAGTTACCAAATTATGTCTATACTCGAACAATTTTTAAAAGATGGTGACTCATCTTGCGAATTGCTCTGTCGTCAACCGGCAACAATGTAATTCTATTATGATTTTCAGAGTTCAACTTACCGGGATCATTTTATTGTTTATGCTTCGTCAACGCGGAAATTTAAAAAGTAAGACTATTCCATAATATTTACTCCTCGTACAAATATTATATCTAGCCAAGTTAGGTAAATACTTTGAAACAGCGATAAACTCGTCAATACTAATGCCGTGTTTGAGAATCCACATCGGATGCATCTGAGATGTAAAAAATCTTTGATCACGTGATTCAGTATACGTAAATGTAATGGGATAGATGTGTCCGATGTGGATTCTCAAACGCAGCATAAGAAGGTCTGCTGGGAAATCTAACAAACCATTTGGGTATTAATTCAATTAAATTAATCAGTGTCGTAGCGTGAGACAGGTATATGGTTAGTTGTAGTAGTTTATTTTTTTTATCATATCATTTTAATAAATTCGAGGTATAACAGCTTAAAATGAAACATAACACCTTTAGGTTTTAATTACTACCGTAAAATGGGGTGAATAGAAACAGGTTTCATGTTATTGTGTAACGCTACTGCGATGTTTGATGAGATAATGTAGTTTAAATTAGTGTAAAACTTGGGCCTTAGTCTCTTCTAGACGAAGTGTACTATAAATTATTTAAAAAAAAAATTAATTTGTATTTCATTTTTTTTTTTCGTTGTGTTTCTATTCACCCTACAAATGGGGTCAAAAGAAACACATACTTAATTGAGCGTTTGTATCTATTCATAGCATTGTGGGGTGTCTAGAGACTTCAAAAGAAAAATTCAGTTTGATTAAATCAGTTTTATTTAACATAAAAACCTTAAAACGAGCTAAAAACAAAAAGTTCAATATATTCATCTACATAGTATATGTAAATATAAACAGATGAAGAAACCAAAAACATAAAAATTAAAAACATCAGTAAATAAAATTAGTATATTGTCAAATCACTGAGATTATCCGGAAAAGAAAGCATATCTTTGAATCGACCAGAGGAAAAAACAGTGGGAGAAGACAACCCTCGAAGTATATCAGCATGATCTATGAACGACTCTTCAGTTGTTACATTGTCTCGCCGCTCTTTTTATAAAAAAGTCCCACATACCCATCATCAACGAGATAACAAATTTTGATCACGTACAATCTAACAGACTGCTTGGTCTTACCGTAGACTTTCGCAATTGCAAAATCTCTAGGGTGAAGGGTCTCGGTACTTTTATGTGTAGGAATTTTCTTTATCTTCAGAAAATGATAGGTCCAATTCATTATCACTGTCTTGAAGGGAATATTTAGAGCTCACTGACGATGAATCTTCATCATTCGTTTTTGTATTTTTCTTTGAACGAGTAGGATGTTTGCTTGAAGAAGCTACCGGTGTTACAGCTTGGTTGAAATCTGCAGGGTCGATATCTGCTTGATATTCCTGTATGCCGATGCTTTTAACTGGTTGAGCAACACATTTTTTCCTAGTCTTCCGGGGTTTTGGGGTGTCTCCTTGCCTTAAACTTCTTAATAATTCTTTAAAAGTGTCGTCGATTGATTCAACGGTACACATCTGTAATGTCTGGATGGGGTCAGTATTAGGTAGCATTGACAATACTTTGACTCGATATATAGGGACAATACCACATTTTTTGAAACCGGAAATAACATTATCTTGTTTAAATGTTGAACATAGCTGATTTAGTAAACCAGGAAATTTGTCTTTTGGAACAGTCGACTCATTTCTACCTGGACCTTTTTTCCAAGTTTCTAAAATATGACGCCAAGATATCTTTACTGGACGAAAAAAAGCCACGTCCAGTGGCTGGGTCAGGTGGGTTGAATTGCTTGGGAGAAAAATGAATTTAATATTGTTCTCCTCACACAATCTAATTGCCTCCAATGACAGATGTGATGCTAAATTATCACCAATCAAAAACTTTTGTCCCTCAAGCCTTCGCAAATAGGGGACTGCTACAGTTTCAACCCAATCTTGAAAACAGAAGGCATCGAACCAGCCGGATTTTGTTTTATTGTAACGAGAGTTCTTAGGGCCATTTTCAGTCCAACTTTGGTAGAGATGTAGGGCTTTATATACCACATAAAGAGGTAATATATTGCTGTCCCCAGCAGCAGCAAACATCACAGAAACCGAAGATTTGGTAGAGTTCATTACACGTTCCGGATATTTGCATCCTCTTCTGGTAATAACTTTCTTCCGCCCTGGGTCATCAGATAAATTCGTCTCGTCATAATTAACGATGTTACCAGCTGGTACGTCTTTCAATTCTACCTCGAGGTTGTCAAAGTATTCGTTTATCACCTCCGGAGAAATAGCAGCCCTGCTTCTTTTTATATTTTGGCACATCCTTAAAGATAAGGCTTATTTATGTCTTTTTACCCTACCAGGTAAATTGTCTTTGAACACTTTTATGCTTTTTCCCTGACGATCTAAAAACTCTTTCACTAAGAGTCTTAATGTCAGGGAATCAATGGGATAACCCCAGTCTCCACATACCTGTAGTCTATTTACAAGAATGGATTCCTCCATATCAGATAAAGCCGTCTGTCCACCTTGTTTTTTCATTTGTTTTCCCTGTTTGAAATGTCTGTAAAGCACGCTGAAATGAATGCCATGCTTTTCTGACGATTTTCTTAAACTTAACCCTGACCGTATATATAGAATTGCACTTTTGATTTTTTCCTCAGAGTGCTTTTTATACTGTTTAGTAGTTTCACTACTTCGTTGGTATTTTCGGGGCATTATAAATTTAACGTATTGATTCATTCATAAAACGCGTGCTCGCACACACATCTCCACTTAATTTAGTGGGGTACCGCTCTATCTGCGCCAGTCGAGGCGACGTCTCTGTCTAAAATAAATCACGAATTGATACTTGCAAATAAACAAATGATAATTTTAAATGAATGTATTAGTCTATAGTTGTTGGTCGTTGATTAGTAGTTAAGGAATTAAAACTTCAAATAATTTTAAAAAATTACTTCTATTTAGATATATTTTGGAAACAATTAGAATCAAATTGTAAAATGTTCGAGAAATATAGCAACAACAAAAACAAAAATAGCAGAATATTAATCAAGATTGTATTATATTTGAAACGACTATTTCACTAGACCAAATATTGACTATTGACATATTGAAATATTGACTCTAGAGAAACAGTCCTGATATTTGGTCTAGGGAGATGGTCATCAAAATTTCACACCACCGTAGTCTAATAATCAAAATTATGTACTTTATATATCGATGGTTTATTTATAATCACATATTATTTACTTTATTCTAATACCCCGTATCTGCAAAAAATTCAATTTTTTTCCTTTTTGCGTCATTCAGGAATTATTGACGGTACTAATAATCTGTATTTCAATCATATTTAGCATTTATATAAACTAAAAAAAGCTTTTCCTGTAAAATATCGATCCATACAGTTACAGGGTATTCAAATTAGACCATCGATATTAGGATTAGGTACCTAGGTCACTTAAGGTACAATTTGGGAACGCGAGACCGATGCAAGCGATAGCGACAGGCATCAAGGCAGCAAACACTACCGTTCTTGTATCGATCATCGCGCTGTCCTAAATGTGCTTCATTTAATTACATGCCATTCAGAAACATACATTTCGGTCGCCTTACGCAGTCGCTTGCCTCCTGTCTCCTGTTTCGGTCTCGCATTCCCAAATTGTACCTTTATAAGAAGTTTAAGAATAAATTTAGTTTATACTGATTAAATTGTAAATATACCTATTTTTTTAGGCAAGATTTTTCTGTAACTACTTAAGTGGTTCAATGTTGCTTCCATCTACAGAAGAAATGCGAAAACAAACGGAAACTGAAATGGAGAATAGATGGGCTGATGGTTTGACCAAAACAAAAGCTCATTTTATGGGAGAGTACCAGGAAAACTATTATAATGATCTAGCGAAAGATGCTAACACTGACTCTATTTTACCTGTGTATATTAAATTGACAAATATCAGTATAGACAATTTATATAGCGATTTAATTAATTTTAGAGAAAACAAGTACAAAATTGTGGACGAAGAAAATTTTGTAAAAGTAAATTAGTTGATAGTCTATTACATTTTATATTGTAGAAGAGACAATACTACTTCCGATGAATCCTTCCTAATTACAACTTACAACTATTGTGATATGTGTATTCTACTCTACACCTAGAACGATATAAACAAACTAGATGCCAGGTTTTTGTAACTAGTTTTAGTTTGGTTGTCATTGGATATAATAAATGTTTTTTTTTTACTTTTAAGTTTTTTCATTCAACTCAGACAACACAGTACAATGGACATCCACTATAGATCCATTTGAGATCAGAACGTCCATATCCCTATTTGCTAACCATTTAAATATAAACTTTTTTTAAATGTAATTGGTAATTAAAAATTGACAAATTGAATCTGTTGCATTTCAATCAATCAGCGGTAGTTTGAAATCCAAGTGGCTCGTTGGTCGATATCGTGTCTAGTGGTTGAAAGCGTAGAATGTTAACGGACGTGTCGTGAGTTCGAAAACTGCTCAGGTCAAGCGATTTTTAATAATAAGAAAAAAAAAATAGAAATGGTGTATAGCGAGTTGCGAAAATAATATATTATTAACACATTCTCCGCCAAGCCAATTTTCATAAAACTTCCCAGCACGCCACCCATAAGAGCGACTCAGCGGACACCGGTGTCCGCTCTGGTGCCATGCCTAAAAAAGCATTTTTCCCTCGCATCACGCCAGGGCGGACAAAATTTTTGCGATTTTACCACGCCACAGCGGACATAATAGCGGACACAAATATCTCAGCGGGCACGTCGTAACAGGTCTGTTTGCCGAAGCGGATCGCGCGCCAAATGTCTTGCTAAGCTCAGTACTGCATAAATTAGCGTAGTAGACACTTGACAGTGGTTTTTCGTCATAAGGTTTTTCTATTTTGTTTTTTCATAAAGTGACAATGAGCAGCAGATCGAGACATATTATGTCCCTTGTGGAATGTTTTAATAAGGACCATAATAAATAAGTTTTTTTTGCCATTTTGTTTTTATACTAAAAAATGTTAAAATGTGTGTACCTATAAAACAATATATTTTTTTTAGTTATTTGTTATAAATAACGAGAATTTTCTTGATATGTTTTTTTTGTTTTAAGAATTGTTAAAAATGCTTAAGTTATATTGTGTCTAGTTGTACATAGTCAATAAGTTTTTTGATATTTTATTTTGTATACTATAGAATGCTAAAATGTTTTTTTCAATAAAACAATAAAATTTTAGTAGTTAAAAGTAGTTTACATTTCCATTGAAAAAAAAATTTGTCCGCTCTGGCGCCTAGAGTTTAGCTGCTTTAAAAACTTTTTTACACGCCACAGCGGACACAATAGCGGACACAGTCCATAAAATTTAAACAAAACTCTTTTTCAAAAAACCACGGTCGGTAGGCCATTCTAGAGGCCTAAAAAGAATAAGTTATAATAAAACATTTACAAAATTCAGAATTTTCGAGGAAATATCAACCTCTAAACCTGGCGGACACCGGTGTCCACCCTGGTGTGATGAGCCGACCACGTAGCGGACACCAGTGTCCGCCCTGGCGGTGAATGTGTTAAGAGGGTTCTATACCTGTACAGTTCATCAAATTTCTAGAGGTGTTCGACGCCCAGACAGAGAACGCGCTACGTGTGACTAAGATAGCTATTGTACAGTCTGCTAAACAAGTTATTTTAAATAGTTTTTAATATTTTTAGGTAATTAAATTTTCAAAGTGTGGAATAGTTTAGGGATTAAATTGGTCTGATTGGACTTTCTTAGAACGTTTTTAAAAGCAGCTAAAGATAGTATGTAGAATTGAAAATAATTATTATGCCATAAAAGGTGTTTTGGAATTCCTTCAACCTTTTGAAATTGAGTCAGAAAATATAAATTTTATAGGATAGCGGAAAATACCTATAATTTTTTTGTAGGCCTTTGTAAATCGTGGAAATAGTTTATATTTTATTTCTACCTTATTAAGGAAAATGGTACCTATTATTAATAACGGTTGTTTCTGAAACATTACTAAAATTTTCGAATTTTATTTTTCTACAAAATAATAAACTATACTATTTAGAAAAAAATTTATTTCTCTTATAATTTTATAAAAAATAACAGGGGAATATTTACATTTCTTGATCTATTAAACAAAACGATAAATTATCTCGACGAATGACACCATGTTCTAGTACGGAAGCTAGCTTTACATTTTTGTTGGTGGTTTCATGGGTTTCATATCAATTTTTTGTAATTGTAGTTTACACGTACATTTACCTCTTAACACTGGTTTGCTTTATTAAAAAAAGTGTGTTGTTGTGATTTACGTCGAAATAAGTCAAAAACAACTTGAAACCCCATATAAAATCAAAAAGGAGAAACAGAAAAAAATTGAGCCTGTAAATGATCACAACTCAGAAACAAAAATAGCTATCTAATAATAAAAAAATAAAATTTGATTCTTGTGCAGCTTCATCTATATCATTAACTGTTTTTGGTTTTTTAATGGGTTTTCTTGGTGATGAAAATTCCGATATCTCACGGTTATCGATTCTTTTTTTCTCTCCAGAAATGCGGACGACAGTGTTTTTAGATACTCCTGTGGCTGCAGCAACACGATCATTTACATTTTTAAATGGTATTGAAGGTGAATTAAAGTTTCCTTCTCTTCTCATAAACTCTATAACATTGGCTATTATTTCGCGAGATTGACTGTTAATCACGCGGTCTCTTAATTTGCTATTAAACTCTCCATACTTTAAACTATTAAACTGTAATGAGCAAAAAACACAAACGAAAATAAAAGAAATGTTTTAGCGAAATTTACATCTGACATTTACGTCTGAATGAAATAGTGAAATACTTGATGCGCAGAGTGTACTTTCATTGCGTAAATCCGTCGGGATGCCTGTCAGTAGTGCTTTCTCTGTCTAGCCGTCGAAAGCCTCTAGAAATTTGATGAACTGTACACCATAATAGAAATATTAATGTTCTAATTGCGGGCTTAATACTCACCAAAAAAAGTAAGTAGTTTTTTCTAAAATTGAACATTGCTTAAAAATCTCAGAGGACACCGGAAGGTGCTGTCCCCAATTAATAACGATCCTCTTTTACGTTTGGATACATGATTTTTATTTTCTATGCCAGATGGCGCACCAGTCGCGAAAGTATGTTCAGTTGCCTAAACCAATAAATATTACGCAAAATTCTCAAAGATATCGGGTAATAGATACACTTTGTATACATTACTTGTTCGCAACATCTTTTTGACGGTACGCTCTTCCTATGTTGTCAGATCTCTTTCTTCAAATATCAAGCATTAAATTTTTATTAAAAAATTACTATTCCCTTTAATATAATCTAATAAGAAAAGGAAATAAAGAATTGAAAGCATCAATATGAGTTTTTTATTAATTATAATCTTTTCTAATTAACAGTGCTGTTCCTAAAGTGGCACAAGGAAACAGTAACAAGGCCTGTCTGTGGGGTGTAGGAGGGTGTAGGAGTATTAGAGTACTAATACTCCTGCACTATGGAGTACTAGACTACTAGTACAATCCATAACCTACATAGAACACTGGGCTAATGACCTTAGATGTTGAAACCGTACACCAGAGAAAAAAAAATCTCTTAAGACTTTTATTAAGCTATTTTTTCATGTGTATCATATGGGAATTTTAAACATTCTGGTATATATCCTTTAAGTTTGGCAACCTAAGACATTTTGCTAATGTTGTCAAAGTGACAGATCAAGTTTTATTGTGATTTTTTGTGGTTTTTGTAGTTCTCAAGAATAATTTAAACACTCAACTTTTTAATAAGGACTTTTACGATGGGGAGGAAATGTGTAGCGTGCCGACATACGCAGAATAAGAATGTTATTCAGTAATTTTAAGGTGAAGGGGGGAGAAAAAGTCCTTTATATCTCACAAGGAAAGTCCAATGTTTAATTATTCAACAAAACATTGAGTGCGACCGGTTTCGAAGTAACATCACTTCATCTTCAGGCTCGCCTAGTGGAAAGGAGAATATGTGGTGTAAGGTGTGTTGACTTTGAGCCCACAATATATAAAATAGTAAAAAATAGAAAAAACTCACCATACTCTCCATCCACTAGGGAATACTACAAACCAGTTTCATCAAAAACGTGGGGGATGAAATAAATTGTAAAACAAAACAATGTTACAAGTTATAAAGTTAAAAATATTTGAAAAACAAATATTAGTCGATAAAACAGTTAAAAATTTTAAAATATTCAAGACGATACAAAAACAAATTACATACATTAAACAGATTAAAAGATAAGGCCTGTTTTAAGCAAACATTGCTGTTTTTTATAAAAATCTAACATTTTTGAAAGGAGACCTGTCAAGTTAAGGCCTCTACAGGTGGTGGTAAGTACTAAAGAAAAATTCTTGGATAAACTTATGACAGGGTATAGGTAATAAGATGTAAACTATGAGTGAAGAAATATTTATTATATAAGATTTGGGCCATGAACCAATCACCAAGTGTATGTGATGTTGTAGGATAAAATAAGAAAGAAGAAGAGATGACTGGGTTAACTGTTGTGAAGCAACTGAAAAATAAAAGAAGAAGAAAATGACAGATGTGAAAACGCACAAAATACAACAGGATTTTCACATTTTGCCAACCACCTACTGGACTCAAATCACGACTTCGATTCAACTGAAGGTTTCGAAATCCTACATAGTTCCTACCATAGATTAACTCTTAATAGCTTCGAAAGCCTCGAGATATTGAGAAATTTAAAATTAAATCCTGTTGGTTGCTTAAATGCCCAGATAATGTCAGAAACTCCTCCAGTTTTCTCAACACTAATCTAAATTTATCGTTCTAACTTCCTTTTTAACCTCCCCCTTTATTTCTATTCACATATTTCCTTGCAAGGGGTACATTTCAGTAAGTAATTTTTTTCCCACAAAAAACCAACGTGCATGTTTAAGGACTAGGTTAAGTTGTGCGTTTTCACATCTGTCATTTTCTTCTTCTTTTATTTTTCAGTTGCTTCACAACAGTTAACCCAGTCATCTCTTCTTCTTTCTTATTTTATCCTACAACATCACATACACTTGGTGATTGGTTCATGGCCCAAATCTTATATAATAAATATTTCTTCACTCATAGTTTACATCTTAAGGCTGTATGTCACGATAC